TCTATAATGTACGTGTAATATATATCGTCGAAATGCTCGTGGTAACCGCACGATTAAGCCATTGAGGAGATAATGGTGTCCGTGTGTGCAACACATAGGGGGTGTAAACGCTCGCGGGAGAAACGTAATAGGCAATCCACGCTGCAAGTCGATCCTTGCAGCTCTCACCCCGAGGGCTCAAGACTAACTGGAGGGTAGGGGTGTCTAGACACCCAATCTCTTTTCCTACTCCCTTGTCCTTCCCTCTTCTTTCCTCCTGACGGCATTAACCTTTACACGTATCGTGATAGTAACCGGTCGGAAGGACAATGTTCAAGAGCGAACGAGAGAAGCCCTCTTTGAACGCGTGCAGCAAACGCGTAGTCATGTCGCTCGTAGAATAAAAAGGTTGAAGAGTGTCGCACGAGAGAAAGCTCTCGTTTGGAGCAACGACTAATCTCGCTGAATGCATACTTTTTTCCATCCCCTGCCCGCAAAGCTCTGGCCTCTATTAAAAGCGCGATGTGAGTTTTTTTTTTCAGTTTCTCACAGTGATTTTAGCTGGATGGCTCTCGCTGCACGGCGTACCTGTCATTATTATTAATTCCAGAGTGGTTATAGATGATCATGTTGGTCATCTATAACCAGGTCAACACTTTCCACGAAGCCGGCATATAATACCGAAGAAAAAGCACGCGTCGTGCGTGCTTTACCCGATAAACGGCGGGTATTTTTTTTTTCCCCTTTTCTAACAAGACCACGTGCTTCGTAATGCTTCGTCGTAAATGTGCATCGTAAAACGAAAACCCGGGAAATAATCAAAATGCGCCGCCGATATACCTTCGTATCGTCTTGTTTTTCGCAATTTAGTATTTATCCTCTGCTATTGAAAATGAGCACGATTACCTGGGCGCTTTGAACCGCGCCCGAGATATGTCGCAAACATGCGCTTTGTAACGCGATGGGAACCGTTGCATGGATCGCGCATATGTGCGTGTGTAATGCCTATCGAAACGCCACTCATCGCGTAAGTAGAGATAACTAGAGCGCGATAATAAATAATAAATGCCCTTAAACGCGGCATAAATGTCATATATACCTTCGTGATTGCTTATGATTAAGATATCGATTAATTTCTTATTAACATTATTCAACAATAGAGTCGATTAAAGTCAAAACGATAGGATCGTATGAAATTCTTTACGGATTTCTTGCGAGCTTATCGCGGGTTTATCGCAAATATGAGCCAGATTACGTCACAAAAAAAAAAAAAAGAAAACAAGTTCTACTTTTAACCTTTGAATTCAGTTTCAAATGCCTGACGATACGTATCCAAGTAGTATAAAAAATCAAAGATCAGACATCAAAATGACATCAAAATGATATCAAAACGATAGCATTGAAAAATAAAGGTGATATTATTTCATATTTTTAGCGAGTAGCAATTTGAATTTTTCGTGATTGTATCGTAATCTTTTAATAATTTTCGCCGAAAAAGTGCTTTATATATTAATAATAATTAACATATAATTTATAGTGGCGTAGAGAGTTATGCGTCTGCTCTCCATGCTAACGATTCGAGTTCAATTTCGGTCGCATCAAATAACAAAAATAAAAACAACTGATTTTATCCGATCGGAAGGCAATGACAATTACCGAGAATATCTTGCCCTGTTGCGCATATCATCCAAGCAAATCAATTAAAAAGACAATTGATGACATTCTCTTATCAATCCGCACTAGCCAGCGTGATAAAGCAATGGCTAAAATCCTTTAAGACCTTAGATAAATTGAGAAAAGCTCATGTCCAGCAGGAAAAAAAAATTCTTTGATGATAAATCCATATAAAGCATTCATTTTTTTCGTTCTTTACAAATTAATTACTAATAATGCAACAAAATCTTAGCCATATTTCTGTTATTTTTAAATAACACTTTTTACAATTATGATCAATAGAACATTGTTTGTTATATTAATCTCTTCTGTCATTAATAATATCTTAAACACATACATATATATTATAAATCATTTATTTGAAAAAAAAATACTCTGTTCGGAATATTATACTCGAGCGATAAAAAATTAT